CCTTGAAATACATTCTGAATTGCAGCAGTGCGCAATCAGGTTTACACATTTCACCTGAGGAACTGGCTGGTGGAATTCACTTATTTTGGAAATTAAAATCTAGTACAATGTTGTATAAAACTTTAGAAACGTGTATACAGACCTCTGTCTCTAGTTTTACCAAATGTAACACACACACATTTTAAAAATTTCATTTAAATTTTTATAACGATGTGGAGTGGGGGAAGACGCTCGCTATAGTTCCGCCTGGCGACCCCACTCACCCACTCCAGGGTTGTTAACGTTACTTTGAAAATGTATCGCGATACCGTTACCTCGTTACTCTACCCTCGGTAACGCGTTACCGATACCGTTACAGCCTTCGGAGAATTGTAACGCGTTACGTTACTGGTAACGTCATTACTTCGTTACTCGATACATGAAATTAATAATTTTAAAAAAATTCTAGAAAGAAACAGTTTTAAGGTGTTAATGTATAATGAAAGGTATTTTATACGTAAAAAAAGCATGTTAACTGAAGCCAAATTTCTTTTAGAAATATTCTTCGTAATGTTGTATACAATGAAATCTAGCAAAGAGAGCAACACTTTTTAATGTTCTAGACAAAGGGGGAAATTACATGCGAAATAAGTCTTACACCTCCCGCAAAATAAATGCGAAATCATGGTGAAATAGTCGCGAAATACCACCCAAATACTGCGAAATAACCGAAATACGTCGAAATAACTCGTACGCTGTGTTCCCTAGTCATTTCCCCCTCAAATCTAAAGAAGTTCAGCTGAGCGAAACAGAGGCGACGCACTGCAGTGACTGACTGACTCAAATGTGACCGAAGGAATCTGTCAAATGCTGTTCCTGCCCTTTCCCTCTTACCCTTCCGCCTAGCCTGCCTCCACCACTCCACCAGGCAACACGCCGGTGGCGGTAAGGAGAGCAAAAGGACTGCTGACCTACGGCTGACTCACTGACTCATATGTCTGGGGCGGAGGCTGGCGCTGATACGAAGCGGTCTCCTTGTGACCATACCGCACTTCCTCGGCCAGCGAGCCAGTGCGCGGAGTCACAACACCCCCTCCTCCCTCTCCCAGTCCTGCGACGCAGTCCAGCGGCCATAAGCGCCGCGCCCAGCTATGCTGAGAAGTCATATTATAAGACCTGACCCCCGCATCGCATCATTATCAACGAATTAAGTGGGCCCGTCAAATATATCCCATGTAACGAGTAAAATGTATCGACGTTACCTCTCGTTACTGACGAGGGTAACGATAACGCGTTACCGATACAGCACAAATGAAAATGAAACGCGTTATCGTTATCGTTACTGTAACGAGTAACGCGTTACAGTAACTTCGTTACTGCGTTACTGTAACTTTAACAACCCTGACCCACTCCAATTCTGAACGCGAGGTGGAACTATAGCGAGCGCCTACTTTGTACAAACAATTTTTACCCGGGTTGTATCGAATGTTGTTAATGCTTTCTTTTACGTGATATCTTGTGCATTATGGACATTTAGTTTTTTTACAAGATAGTACACTATTTATCGCGTGGATGGCGCGCACACGTGAAACGGACTCCTAAGAGGACAAGGTTTTAATTGTTGAGCCGATACCTAGACGCGATTCGACCCTGTTAAAAGCTTACGGTGAATTTCACCGTAAGCTACGGTAACGTGGGCCGTCACTACAGTTACGCCCCCGTAGAAGACACACGTCCGGTTTTCCCCGAAACGCGGGTACTTACCGTCCTGCCAAGTGGCGGGTTCCCGGAATTTTTGATGATAGTTTGAAGTGATGTTACGCGTTGATTATGCGTTTCATAGAAAATCAACATGTTGGACCAGTTAAGGTTAGGCTGTCCAGTTATGACTGAAAAATGAACACTTTGGGTACAGAAGTAGCTCAAAATACAGAGAATATTTTTAAAATCCCCTAGTTTGAAGAAACCAACATGATTTTCTGAGAAATAGCGCGTTTAAAGCGACTATTCTGTGAATGAGTTAACGGGAAAGCTGTAGAAGTCGTCGTGGCGCGCGGCGGCACGTGTCCGAATCAGGGCAACGGCATGGTTTCCGCCTTTCCTACCAGGTTTGGTGTGTCGGAAGTGACTCAAATTTTGAGAGGTCGTAGAGGGGACCTTCCTCGAGCCGTCGAGGCTTCCCGCGACACGGTAAATACCCGCGTTTCGGAGAAAACTGGTATAATATTGGGCGCGGTGGTGTCCAGCGGGCGTCTCGTTGCTTCTCCATTAAGCCCTTCTCTCACGGTGGCGCCCAGATTTTGCGAAGTGTCATTACAAGTTCAATACGATCTTTAGAGGGTGCAACCTCGATTACTATTCCTCTTGTTGGTACAGGTTATTCAAGGCCCTTGCGGCACCACTAACGCGGGTCGGTTTGGCTCTACAAAAAATAGACATTTTTTCATCGACAGTAACAAAGTCTGAACCTAAGACTTCAATTATGTTGTTTATTGCCAGACTAGAGGGGGGAGATAAGCGTAGTTTCACGTTAGGCACGGCTCTTGGCGCACTTTCATGAACCTTACGAAAAAGGAGATCATCAACCTAGATACGTTATTCAGTTATCGAGAACATAAAGGCGCAAATTAGAAAGATGCGAAACGTTTTGGTCACTGCAAGTTGGGAATATGCTATCGCTTAACTAAAACCTCGCAGTAATTTGCAAAATTCATCTCGACTCGCAATTGTTTAGCCAATTATCGAGCCATGCGCACTACTTGTATTTTTCTTCTTCTTTCAGATAGATTCGTCGGTTATGCACAACGCATTGATCTGGATGTGGAACGAATACCATGTTCCGATCATTATATCGGAAAACGGCTATGGCGACTCTAAGCACGCTGGAGTCAACGATGCAGCTAGAGCTGCCTACCACAGTGTAAGATAAGCAATTTAGCTACCATTTCTAATATTTTTGACTGCTTGTGTGTGCCGCAGAATAAGACAATAAGTTTACTTATTTCTAAACTGAAATTTCCATTGGCTTTTTATCTCCAGTACAGTAGGCACAGTTCCGTAAGCAGAGGTTGTCCTTTAGGGGTGACTCTAAGCACAGGATGTCAAATTGATATTAAATTTTCTCTAAATGTATGTTGGGAATGTGTAAGCGTGGCCCCTTGAAATACATTCTGAATTGCAGCAGTGCGCAATCAGGTTTACACATTTCACCTGAGGAACTGGCTGGTGGAATTCACTTATTTTGGAAATTACAAGTGGCTATAAATGGATGTGACGATAAAAAGGGTAGTCCTCTTCAAAAACATGGGACACCTAAGTTTTCTAACGGTTTCTAAGGCACAAAACTGCTCCGGGAACAACCCGTAAAGGTTTGCAAGGTGCAAGGTTGCACAAGGTGTGCATGGCACTAAGAAACGAAAACTTCATGTATTTACATAACCTGCTGTTTAAACTAGTCAAACCTCTTTCTCTCCTCGAAACTTTGCTTGGTAGCTGTTGACTGTTGGTTATACATGGTGGCTATTCAGACTTATAAACAACATTTTAAAATCGCTCTCGTCGAACGAAAGCTACATCTTTTATGATCAAATGGGCATTTTTGTCGTTGTCGTTAGTCCATCCGTTGATACGCAATCCTGCACACGGAAAAGGCATGTAACTTTTCACTCCGAGACAAAGACGAGCATGTTCCAGGAGGAGCACGCAAACGTTATATATCTCAAAATGTAGCTCAATCCTTGCTTTTTGTAAATACCAGTCGTGAAAAGCGCTACGATACTTAGTTTTCTTGTAGTTGCGATTCTCCCAAACCCTTACGTTTTGGAGGGTTTGGGAAAATAGTCACGGAGGAAGTCACGCTGGTAAAATGGATCACATTCTCTGTAATACGGACAATTTTATCCGGATTATGGATGATTTGTGACCCATGAAAGGTTTGCACAAAATTCTCAGTCACATGCGGAAAGCACATCCGTAAGAAAATGAGAGTGTTTGAAATTTCACGTCACGTCATACTTCTCGAGCAAGAAAGGCCTCAAAAGCAAACCAGTTCGCGAAATAACATCCCCCCAATCCCAATGGCCTCTCTTGCTCTAGAACAAACAAACGTCCCTGGCGCTACTCGCAGCCACATTAGCCAAAAGAGCACACTTCCGTCGGTCGGACTGGCTTGATGCTATGCCATGCCGCTGAACCCTAAAGTCATTTCCCTGGACCAACGTTTCCTCTACAAGAAGAACCATTTACCTCCCGGGACCGATTTTAAAGGTCAGCAGCATGGCCTTGGCCTAGCATTGGGTCTGTCCAATTATTGGCGTGAGTGTGGTCATGGTAGTTATATGGTCGCGAGAAGCACGAGAGAAGTTTGTTTTTGACATGCAGAAGTTCTTTTGGGCGGATCCTTATCTCTGGTGGGTACCCTTTAGCATGCAGCATATTTTTGATGTAGCGGTTAACTTGCTGTGGTTGCTACAGGCTCTCAAAAATAGCGATTTTACGGCGGCTAGGACCCTTCATTCGCATGGCTTTCGGAGGAACCAAATCGCATGTCCCGGGCTGAAAATCATAGTTTACATCCTAAGCTTTAATTTGATACCGAGTTTGTGGTATTGAGATGAATACTGCTTTGCCCAGGGCCCCTAGAAGCTATGTTGCTTAGGAGCTACAAAACCATGAAGGGTTAAATGTTAACGTTATCGTTTTTGAAATATCCAGTCTGGTTGAGAAAAGAAACCTTACCGTTCATGCATAAGAAACGCAAGTGTGTAAATGTCGCTCACATGTAGGTGTGCGAATATCCATTTCGTACGCTTAAGGGGGTAAACATGTTAAATTTCACTTGCGTTTCCAGTGTGGAACAAAATTGTTTCTCTCTCCGAAAGTAGTGGAAGGCGCTTAAAAAACTTACATGAAATTTTTATAGATTACAGTTACATTGTAAACGAATTTTCTTGTTTTACAGGCTAACCTACTTTCCCTTGTCCGAACAATGAAAGTATACGATGTAAAAGTTCTTGCGTACTACGCGTGGTCGTTAATTGATTTGTTCGAGTTCTCCTCCGGCTACGAAGGGTAAGTTCAACGAGTTTTGTTTTGCTTGTGCTGTGCTGCGTGCAGGCGTGCGTGTGGGTCCAACAGTCACACGTGTGACGGTAGCCGGGCTGTGTCGGTCCAGGCACCGTGGTGTCTTATGCAGAAGGTTCACTCGCAGAGGTCTCGAGGGGGTCGGGGATATCTCGCAATGCTGAGGGCGGCGCAGAGCAGTCGGCGAAATACCGCTCGCAGAACGAGAGAACGTGTCGCACAGTTGATTGTCGTCGGCTGGGCGGTGCGACGCCTTTGACGACAAGGTCGATGAGTGACAGGGGGCGCAGACCGCCCCTCCTTGATTCGGCAAGGCAATTCGACACACCGTTTCCTCGTGCCCTCAGTCTCCCACTTAGTGACGGTGTTCTGTCAGTGCGTGATGGAGGGAGACGGAAGTTCGAGATATATAAAATAAGCGATATACGACCTACCCTAGTGAACAGTTACACGAGGTTATACAGTGACCAAAATATACTTATTACAGGAAGTCACACACACGCACAATGCACACTACGTCGGGGTAACCCACCGCGATTTCACGAAAAGTCGCTTCCGTCCGAGATCAAAGGCCTGCCAAATCGGCCTCCGAGACCGACCGCGAGGTCGCGCGGTCTGTCACAGGCCGCCTGCCCAGGCGAGAGGTGATGAGCGGAGACAGCGCCGGAGCTCCCCTCTCCTCTCACCCGGCAGGCGGCCTGCGCAGACCGAGGCGGCCTGGCGCAGTCGGTCTTGGAAAGCGATTTTGCATAGCTCTGGCCGAGATACAGCGCTCACGCTTGGGACCCGACGTAGAGCTCGGCTGAGCGACTGGATAGGGTGTTCCGGGCTGTCCAAAACGGAAGATGGAAAAGAACAAACTCACCAGTTTTTCGGTTTCCGTTTTGTCTCTGATTGGTCGAGCTGGTCACATGCCTTTACGGACTTCCAGGTATGAGAACCTGTCAAATAAGTTTCGAGATTCCCTCCATATTTAAGAGGTTAGAATCGGCCCAAACTACCATGAGATAAAGGATTCCGGTAAAGCTGAAATGCACAAGAATGCGGGGAAGAAGAAAACGAAAATCGCCATGCTTTGACATGGTTACTTTCGTTTTCTCGTTCCTCGCATTCTTCTGCATTTCAGCTTTACCAGAGAGCTTTATTTTTCATAGTCGCTGGACGGAAACACATGCATCAGTGAGTTTGTTCTTTTCACTTCCGTTTTAAATAGCCTGGAACACCCTATGAATGTCCATTCCGCAGACCTTTGTTCAGCCGGAGCCGCGGTGGCGAAGGAGTGGAAAAGCCGAGGGGGTTTTACCCTGTACACCTGACCTGGGTATTACACGGTATTACGCACAATGTTTTGCGGGAAAATATCAAAATGAATTAAAATCGTTAGTTTTTCCAAGTAATACCGGCGTAATACCGCTTAATAGTGTGTAATACAGAGTACTCTGTACACGTTTTCTTGGAGTAAATCCCTCCTCGGGGGGACAATACCTATGGCCCGAATATTGCAAGTTTTGAGAGGGATTAGATGAAAACAACATTGTTTTTAGAAAACAGGAGTGTCATCACGCAATGTGTCGACAGGTTACGATTTTTTTGCAGAGTCGCTTCTAATTACTTCTGTTGCAGGCGCCCTTTCGGACTCGTCCACGTTGACTACCATAATGGATCACTAAATCGTACGCTCAAGGATTCTTCCAAATTTTTCATCCGTCTACATGAAACTGGAAGAGTTCCTTTCATACCCGAGCCCGAACCGGATAATGTATCAGCAGGAAACGCGTTATTTGCATCTCACGAAGTATTAGCCCTGGTATGTGGGCAGCTATTGGTGTGTGGCTCATGGTTCCAAAAACACCTGTAGACTTAAAGACTTTGTCGGTCACTTGTAAACTTGTCAGCTATGAAATGTACAAAATATGAAAAAAATAAAATAAAGAACGTGTAAGTAAGGAACTATGCTACGGAGAACAGTAAAACTGTACCATTCCTTTGGTGAAGGTGGGTGTCAGTCACACTGCAAACGCTAACTCGGCCTAAAAGAAGATTTTGTGCACAATGATATGCTTTCACGTGCGGTTAAGAACGTACGAAACCTCTTGGTGAAATATATGACTATATAGTCCAACTGCGAAAATTGTAGCAATTTTTAACCAGTTAAGGGGGGACCTTTCAAAAAAAAAAAAAGGTTGTACGATTTTGATGAAATTTTACATGGCCGTTCTGTACCGCAACAGGAGTCTAAATATAAAATTCGAGCTCTATAACTCAAATACAAGCTGATATATTGAAAATTAAAATTTGCCAAAATATTCTCTGCTCTTAACTCTCATTGGATTCACAAAAGTCAGATCGGTCATCTACGACCAGAATCATAGAGGGGAAGGATGTCCGACCTGCCTAAAGTTTGTCAGAAAAAAACGTTGGCCAGAAAAAAACTTAGTCAAAACTTTTCCGAAAAAAGTCGAAAAAAGTATTAAAAATCGACCGTCCAGAAATGCGTTTAAGGACCTGGGGAGCAACACATCATAAGATGGCGAGACACTTTATGGGAAAGTCTTTGCCACTTACTCTCTGAGCCGACTTTGGAGGGCGGAACATTTTTATCCCTGGTGGTGAAAAATCTTAAATTTTCCCGAGGTGTTCCCAGACGGCGTACCTACCGTCCAGCAAGGTCACCGGATATTGTACCACAAATCTTACGACGGTGCAGCCCTCTGAAAACGGCTGTCAGAGCGTGGCACGCGAGGCAGTGGCGCCAAGACTTCTTGCGGACGGGTATGCAAGCCCCCTTTAAAACACCCTTTTACTCCGTTTTACCCCCCTTTTTCTTTCCTTTTTTCCTCGCTCTTCTTTCCTACCCTATCCCCCCCCCCCTTTTTCAACCCTTTTACTCTCTCTTACCCCCCTTTTACTCGCGATCACGGGTATGCAGCTGCATAACCGCGACCCCCTCTTGGCGCCACTGACGCGAGGCACGACCGAAAAATGAATCAAAAACAAACCATCCAGAAATGCGTTTTAGGACCTCGGGAACAACATATCACAAGATGGGTGTCATCTAGTAACTAGAATTATTCTTACCCTAGTCCACAATTGTATACGTTCGAATGAAGAATACTATTCTTTCTTGTGCCAGTATAACATTATTCTTTAATAAAGAATGTCGATGCATTGCGCATGGCATCAGTGCTTAGTAGATTTTAGTGTAGTCGGGGTACTATGTATGCTTTTAAGAGGAATAACTGAGGCATTACTGGTATCTTAAAATGCTTGCGACTTCAAACGGAGCAGCAAGGATATTTGTATTCTTACTACAAGGGCGAGGCCCCGAAACAAAACCCCCCCCCCCCCCCATATCAGGAATTCCTTTCACGACCCCTATGGGTTCTCCCTGGGAAGATGTTTAACAATTTGAAACATTTGGCAAAAATTGAAAAGCATTAACCATGATGTAGAAAACTCCGTAGGCAGCTCTTTGCTGCGAAAGGTGGCACCCGATCTCGTGCCTGTGCGTCAGTCTCGCAGTCAGCACCAGTTGCGACTAGCGCAGCGCAGCAATTGGGCAAGTGCGCGCGAGTGCGTGCCCCCTCCTTTCTCCAACTGCTCCCCCCACCCCCCCGGGGGGAGGGGAGGGAGCGCGTACCGCTCGACTGGAGCGCTACGGTGGTCGGCACACTGTAAAAAATACTAAGAATCTTCCCAACCCATTGGGTTTATAATTTCCCAGTGAAAACTGGAATGTTCAATTCCTAACCCAGTGGGTTTGCAAAGGCAAATCCTTTTTGGAAATTTGAATTTTCAAGTCAATGTGGACTTGTCAAATTTATGTGGTATAAGGTAGAAAATTCATGCATGGAAACCAAAAATTTCGAATTGGATAAGGGATTTGCGTTTCTCAGCCCACATCTTGAACTTCACTGCCACCGTCGACTGTCATTCACCAAATGTGGGCTGGGAATGCCAATCATCTGCCCACGTGCCAGAATTCCTGGACCAGGGGCGTCGACTGGTCCGTTTTCCAGGGGGAGGGGGGGGGGGCAAATGGGCCGGAGTGTTGTGGGTTGCTTCCCTACAGTAGTTTTTCTTATTGCGCTAAATAAGTGCTACTGAAAGGTTAGGTAGTACATTTAATTCGCGTCAACTAATATGGACATACATTAGCAGCAAAAATTAGAATTTTCAATACACAGGTTACAGGTTTACAAATAAGTATTTAAATTGATCCAAAAGTCGAATGCGGCAAGTCGTTATTAACAAAGAGAATTATAAGGGTGGAAATGTTCAGTTGATCGACCCTTTCCTTGTAAATGGTCAGCAGGACAAGGTGATTCAGTCTGGCCTGGCCCATTGTAGATCTTAAATAGGTTTTGAGACGCCGCATCATTGAAAGCGTCCGCTCCGCTGTTGCCGCGGATTCTGGCACGACTAACAGCAGAACTCTCAAGTCCCCCATCTCAGAGAACAGCGCGCGAGCTTGAGGGTGCAACTCAGAAAACTTTGCTGCCACTTCACCCACGGTTTTTCAGCCGGGGACTTTGTCATACAGTGACTCTAAATTACATGTCAGCTTTCTTACATTAAATTCATATTTTTCCAACAGTAGTTCAATCTTTTCAGAGTCAGCACCCCAGCCATTCGGTGAGAGTAAGGCCTTTTCCATCATTTCTAGCTTATGGAAGTCATCATGATCAAAATCGAGAATTTATTTCTGAAATAGCTTGAACAACCATTTGGATCCATTCTTATTTTGTCTTTTGCTGCCTGAAACTGATGGGGGACGTTGGAGCTGGAGTGAGAAGGATTGTACTCGTCGCGGGATGGTGGGTTGTGGGAGCCTCCGAGAAGAGGCGCATTAAGCTTGAACTTACTTTCCGCCGTTTGCATTTCTACCCATAGATTTCAGAACGCATCAGAACGCATCCCTCGTAGCTTCAGTACACGGAAAAAAAAATAGTTCTCCCAACTCAAGTTTAAGTTGATTTCCGGATAACGAAGAAATTTGGCTCCAGCAACCAGTTTTTGATTGTAACAACCAGCATTAAGTCGAGGGAACGACGCCGTTGATGGGGGTACGAAACCTTGCCTTGTCCACGGAAAGGATTGCGTTTGTTCTCCCAACAACGGCGTCGTTCCCTCGACTTAATGCTGGTTGTTGCAATCAAAAATTGGTTGCTGGAGCCAAAATTTCTTCGTCATCCGGGAATTAACTTAAACTTTAGTTGGGAGAACTAATTTTTTTTCCGTGTAGAGTCACGTCGACCGCCTGCTTCGCACCGGATACCGTATAAGTAGGGGACTGCAGGGTTTTGAGGGTCCTTCGCACGGGAGTAAACATATCACGCATGTCTAAAAGCACAAAGCACACTGAAGCCTTCTCAAGCTGATCATGAAGTCCCAAAGCTTTTGCTGGTACGTTGACTGTCTTGTCATTTCTTACTATTTCCATTGTATTTTTTTCACCCGCAAGATTGTTTAGGAATCTAAGTACGGACTGGTAAGAATTGATTAGGCCCGTGATAGAGCGCACCCGTACAGTCCACCGAGTAGGACAAATAGCAGCTGGGCCCGGGCCAGTTTGTTCTTCATATGATACGCGGAGTACGTCGAGGGAGTGCTTTCGCTTGGGGCTCCTATTAACTATCGGGTGATTCTCAGAATACGGGCCATTTGGTAGTTCCTAAAATTTTTATTTTTTTGTCTAATTTGCTAGTTTTTTTTGGTCACAATGGTTTTATTTACCTTCCGAGGGACACCTTCAAAGTCGGGAAAAAGTGGCTTGACGGTTGAAGAAATGATCGTGCCGTAATGCTCTGATTTATTTTACAGCGCTCGTCCAAGGTCCGACAATATTCGGAAGTGGGATGGGGTCATGCATGTAGACTGTAACCACTAATGCACTTGATGCTAAATTGATGACAAGTTAGGATTGAGGTTCAGGCACGGCGAATCGTCTGGTCCACAGCCTCGCATTTGCATCATGCTCATCTGTTTTATCTTCCTTGCTTCTTCTTAATACTTAAGCAATGGAAAG